CCTAACTGAAGTTAATCTATATCCGGCTAGAGTCCATTGAGTCCGAGAATTTCTGGATCCTGACCTCAGTGATTCATTTTTTGTTAGTTCAGACTTGAACCTTACTCTTAAAGTTCTCAGTACAGCTTTCTAATCCGAATTTGTTTTTGTCATTTAGTACGTTTATTTTAAAAAGAAAATATCCTATAAGATGCACCATGAAAACTTCTACAAAGTAAAGATTTTTTTTTCGTTTTTAGAACAAAGCTAAATTCTATGTGAACACTTTTCGCAGCATTGAAAATTGAGTACATAGAATTTCGCTCATTTCGAAAACAAAGAAAACATATATCAAATTAGATTTTTAATGTAACTTTCCAAGTGGAAAAAACGTACGAAGATCTTACTGACAATTCGATGTCGTAAGATTGATAATGTATGATCTTATTATGAATTGAAGTAATCATTCATAATGTGTGTTTTTTAGAAGCATTTGCCTAAAACCAAATGTTAGGCACCATGCGCTTTCCAAATCACCATTTTTATAAAAGCACATTATACAATCATTCCATAGAAAATGAATAAATTTTCTCAAAAATCGTTTCTTCCTTCATTTATGCCGATGACCAAAGGGTTAACAAAGATTGAATTATAAATAATACATTTGCCTTTACTAAATTCTATAGATGAAAAAATAAAAGATAGTATCAATCTATCTCGAAAGAAAAACGTACTTGTCGATTTAATAAAAAGTTCTGATAAGTTAATCACATTTTACAAATCCAAAAATGTCCAATCTATTTTATACATAGATTTATGAGTTTTGGAATAAAATGAACGAAAATGAAAATATTGTTAGACGCATCTAAATTTTCTTTCAATTCAGATCCGATGGGTTCTACATTCGTTAGATACTTTCAAAGTCATCGAGATCTCATTAATTATGAAGTTAAGTGTTAAACACTAAATAGGATCAAATCCAGTAGACTGTCCATTGAGAATGAAAACAAGAAGAACTTTTTTCTTTATAGAAAAGAAAAAGTTGTTACCTCAGCATCACCAAGATCAATAATTTTTAAATGATATTTATGATTTAATGCTTTGGATACATTTATCGGATGAATGAGTACATTGTAAACCTTGACAAATATGAAATATATTATAAAATAAATAATATATATATATATTTCTTACAGCTTCCGTACACCAATCTCTTAAAATTTCTAATTCACCACGTGCTAGAGACTTTAACAAAAAAAAAAAAAAAAGATTTGATTTTAATAAAATAATATTTATTTTTACTTCAAGTATATTCGGAATAATATCATATTGAACAATACGAATAAATTTTTCGACATCAAATGTTGGATCAATACGACATATTTCTGTTAAAGCTTCACTTGTTTCCGATTGACTAAATATTGATGCTTCAAAAAAATAAAACAAAACAAATTTATTTTTATTTATCAATTCATTTTCAATACATACATAATGCTCCTGATACTTTATCTGTAAATGTTCTTGCAACACGTACTACTAAATTATCACTTTCATCATACTTTGATTTAAGATCAAATAATTCTATTTATTTAAATTAATCAATATATAACATTAAGAAAAAACCAGAAAATAATAATAATACAAACTATGTAAATAAGTATTATTCTCTTTAAAATTTTGCCAACTTTGATACCATTGAGAATCTTTGTGTACAGTTATCGTTTGGGTTTCTCTAAAAATAAAACAATATTTTATCTAAACAACGACGTATCTATACGAAAAACTTTAATATTGGATGACATCAAGAAGAGGCAAGAAAATGTCATTTAGGATATGGAAGAAGAAATCTATTTAATCATCAAACAAATTCAATAACGAAAACAAGAAGTTCAATTTTTTTCCCTTAAGAAATTCATCATGTAATTCATCGATGAAAACAGTATCAGCAACTAGTCAGTCTACCGATATACCAATAATAGATCGATTCTTACAATAAACTCTGTCAAGTTACTTACTTAGATCATGCTTTTGAAATATCTCAAAATTAATGTGCTAATGTTTAGTAATAGATTCATATTGATATTGAAATTTTTTTCAACCGAAAAGCACATATTAAATATTTATACATAAATGTTTACCTATGTCAGGGTCATCATCTAAATGGTAAACTTGAGAAAGTTCACTATTAAAAGAAATTTCATTGTAAGAATCAATCTATTATCGCTGTACCAGTCCATCGAGTCCAGAAATTCTTGGATCCAATAGAGTCTACTCACAAAAGATCAATCAACTAGGTGTGAATCCAACAATTTTGATCAATCTGGTTCGGATCCAAAACAAAATTTTATCGACCGGATCCAACAAATTTTAATCAGTCGGGTCCAAAAATTCTTGAATCCGATGGGTTCTATCGGTCGGTCTAGTTTTTTCAAGACCGGTACCAGTCTGAAAAATCCAGATCGGCTGGTAGAGCCCATTAGGATCAAGAATTTTCGGATGCGGATCCGATTGATTAAAATTTGTTCAATCCGGTTCGATAAAGTTTTTTTGGATCCGGATCAGATCGATCAAAATTGCTGAATTCGCATCTAATTGATTGATCTTTTGTGGATAGAGTCCATCAAATCCAAGAATTTCTGGACCCGTACCCGGTCGGATCCGAGTCCAAAAATTTCCTATTGACTGCGTTCGGATCTGACTTGATGAGTACTACTCTGAGGAAAAGAGCCAATTATAAATTGATTCCTATAAGATCATGTTCGAGATTGCTTCAGAACTGTTAAGGGTGTGTTCCTGGAGGATTATCAGGTGCGAATTAAAAAAATTTCATTACATATCAAAGAGTACAATTCGGAATCGGGTCCGGATCCAATGGGCTCTAGTGAATGCACCGTAGTAGAGTCTATAGATGTCGATCTTATGGACTTTGGTTAATGATAAAAAAAGAGCATGATGTATCAGATATGTAAGAACTATAGGAAATATAATGAATATGTATATTGATGTTTATACTGATGAAAGTAGTTGATAGAAATCTTTCTAATTAAATATATGGAAGGAAAATTTTTTAAATAGTCTATGTGAGATGAATTTGAGTAGGATATAATTGAATGTCAAAATGTTTAACTTACGTATCAGCATGAAAGACTTTTTCTTTTTTAACTGAATCAGTATCAGTTCGTTTTCGTAAAACTGCTGGTGGTCGATAACCTAATTGTCTTGTTAATTTAGTAGCATCACCAACTTCTTCTTTAATTGTACTTAAACGCTTAAAAAAAACCAAATAAATAAAAATGAAAATGATAATAAATTTCAATAGATTTTGAATATTTTACTTGAGAAACTTTTTTAAAAGCAGCTGTATCAGTTATTTGTTCGGTTGTTTCAGAGATTTTTTCTGCAGCTTTTTGTGCTTGTTTGCCTAATTCATAGCCAATATCCGATGCTTTTTTCATAACATCACTCTGTTGCAAAAAAAAATAAATAAATAAATCTAATAATGAATAATTTATTTAAAATCTTACTTCTTTAACTTTTTCACCAATTTCACCAATTTTTTCTCGAAGAACAGCCGAACTTTTCATTGTTTCACGTTCTAATACTTTCTGTTAGTAAGAAAAAAAGAAGAAAAACGTTTGTTTTTTTTTTGTTTTTTGATAAATAAATTTGAACTAACATATTTATCTCGAGCTTCTTTTAATGCATCACTATCTTCAAGTTTTTTAGCTTGATCACGAAATTTTTTAATATTATCCTTAAAAAAGAAAGAAAAAAAAAACATATTTTAATTAAATTAAAAAATGTTTATCTTACTTTAATGTCCTTATTTTTATTAAGTTCTTCTTTAATATTATCTATTAATGAACCAAAAAATCCTTTAGGTTGTGATGCATTTCCTCGTTTCTAAAATAATTTTCAAAAGAAAATAAATATTTATTTATATAAAAAAAAAAATTTACCGATATAAAAAGTGGATCATGATAGATAAAACAATTCGGTTGTACTAATCGATTATGATTTGTTATTGAAATATGATTTTGTTTATGTAAATGAATATTATTATTTGATGATGAATAACGTCCCAATTGAATTGAATATGATCGGTGAATAGGTGATGATGAACGAATATTTATTGTTGATGCCTTTGATGAAAGAGTCTATTTAGAGAAATTTATTTTACTTTTTTTTATTTTATTACAATATCAAATATATACAATTAAGTTCGGTACACATTTTGAAGCTGTTGTTAGAACTTTAGCCATTTTTTATTTAGTTAAAACAATTTTTTCCTAATTATTAATAATAGAGATTTTTAACAGCACAATTGTATAACGCAAGAAAAATAATCTTAAAATAAAAAAACGAAAATCCTGATGCATTACCAATTTCATCAGATTTAATGATTCATCGACTTAAAAGATTGAATACTATTGGATTTATTTAGTTAGAAATTCATACCTATGAGAAGATATCGGCATTTTATTGATATACAATATGACCATTTTTTTTAAAATAATTATTTATAAAATATTCTCAAATGTTCTACTCAAATATTTCATTAATTTTTATCCTACTTATGAAAAAAATTTTCATACATTTTTTTTATTATGGAATTTCTTCCATTGGTAGATCCACGAGCCAATAAATAAATTATTTCTTACTCTTGATCCTCTTGATCAAAAATGAACTTTTCTTGCTCCTTATACCTTTAAAATGATTTGACGAGTACAGCTCTTATTAAAAAATTAGAAGAAAAACAAAAGAGAATAACCATTTTGATTTGATATTGAACTAGAAAAATGAATTTTTTTTATCAAATACTTTAGAGAATTTTTCTTCATATATATTCTTGTAAAAAAAGAAAAATACAACAATAAAATAAGACAAAACAAAACAATATGAAGTATTTATCATTGAAAAAAAAATCTTCTCTTAGAAAAGATATTTTTTAATAATAATAAATCTCTAGACACGAACTAACAAAACAAAAAAACTACATATTGCATTTTGAACAATATCAATCAATGACGAAGATCGATTATTTTACATTCTAAACCCAAATCATAATTTGTATGTGATGAAATCTTAAACAAATAAATAAATAAATAAAAGAAAAAAAATGTATTATATTATTATTTATTTACAACATATAATGGAGGATGATTAACATGTTGATGAATATCTGACATTTGACACGCTGATATAACTGGTATTCCTCTATCATCTGTCATTGAAAATATTTCAGTTCTATATAAATAAATATATAAATTATATAAAACTATAAAATAATAAATTAACTGATTAAATTTTGGACTAATAACAATAGCAATTGCTTCTTGAATTAACATTTGATATAATATATGTCTATGAAGATCAATACTTGATAAAAATACTCTTTCATTTGGATGAGTCTATTTACAAACAAAATTATTATTTTATTTTAAAAATAAAAATCTCTACATGAATCCAGCCAAGAGTTATTAAATTATTATTTGAAATATATTCAAACATTTCTTCTTCTTCTTGTTTTTCCATATAACATGAATCTTAAATATTTCAATTATAGAACTAAATAATAAAAAACTTTTCAAATATAAATATATTTTTACTTATTCCACCATTTTGTTTTGGTATAACAATATGTGTTATCATATATTCATTATTCTCTTTCTAATAGATAAATATTTTAATTAAAAAAAAATTAAATTAAATTAAATAACTAACTTTATTTCCTGCAAGAATACCATATGTATAGACATTTTTGGCTAAAATATATTCATTTTAAAATATTTATTAGATATTCATATTTATGTAACCTGTATTTTGTTCAGCTACTTGGAGAAATTTTAATGTTATATCATTTGGAATAGAAATTTGTCGATATAACATTTTATTAGGATTTATTGAATCTATTTCGAAATAAAATAAAATAAATAATTAATGATTAAAAAATATACTTGTTGCTGTTTCTTGAGAATAATCATATGTTGTTCTTTAATAAGAAAATCAAATTAAAATAAAACACACAGAAATTTCATTTACTTGTCAGGTTTGTTACTCATTTGTCCAAAATTGTGATTAGTTGTTGATAGAAGAGATGAAGCTATATGTGTTAATGGTAATTGTACATAATTATCTGTTAGCTGTTGAGATGTTAATTTGTTTTTATGTTGAATACTAAGATAAAAATAGGAGATTTATTTTATTTGAAAAGAACTTCGTTTATTATTTCTTTTGTTTTGATACAAGGAAGAAATACTATTGCATCATTTTTAAAATCTCTTCTCTTTTTTTTTTTTTATTGTGATCTCATCTATGTCATTATTTGTAATTTAATCGTAGAAAAATAATGATGATTCTAATCATTTAATAATATTCTTACTTTATTGGTGCACAACTTAATGTTGTAGCCGTTATTTTCAAATTATCTTCTTCATCTTCATCTATTGTTTTCTATAAAAAAAAAAAAAACAAATTCTGAATAAATAATTGAACTTTTTTATTTTGTATTTGAATACCTGTTTTTCTTCATATTCTCTAATATATTTTTCTTTTAATTTATCTTTTAATTCTTCTGCACGTGGAAGAGCTTTTGTACGAATAATCTATTAATTAGTTTTTTTTTTGTTTTTTGCAAAAAATAAATATAAAATAAAAGTTTTACATCTTTAACACGTTCTCGATCATTTATTGATACATTAGGATAATCTCGATGATGTTGTTTAAGTTCTTCGACAAATAATCTTAAATAAAAAAAATATTTCTAATTATTTTATTATTAATTATATAAGTAGAGTTACGTTATATATCTTGAATAAAGAATAAAACTTTGTTCGAATTGATTTGTTGTAAAATAATGATCAGCTTGTTCAATTAAATTATCTGCTGTTTTATAATAATAACTAATTGGTGTTGTCGAACGAACTGGTATTCGACATTGATTTTCAAGTAACCATTGAACTTTATCACGAGAAAATTTATTTGCTTCTTCAGATAATGACATTATTATCTAAAATAACATAACTTTTTTTTTTCTATTTAAATGAATATATAAATATATTATATTATAATAAGTGTAATTAAACCAAGAGCAATATATTCATTGTTAAATGTCTCAATGGTATAATAATTATTTAGTCATATTTTTGTAGTAATATCTTGTTTATAATTTGTTGTTATGGATAAATCTGAAAATAAAATAATAGTCAATTTTATGAAATTAATTTTGATGAAGTTTCGATCAAATTTTACATAGTGTATATAACAGATTTAATTCTTGTTTTTTTGTGTAGATTTAAAACGAATTATTGATGATTATTACAAATAACATATGTAAATGTATTTTTAACCAAGATAATATATATTATTAATTTTCTCATAATAAAATCTATTGTATTTTAAGGTGCCTAACTAATCAAATGTTAAACATCGCAAAAAAAAAATTTTTTTGATTAAAAAAACTCTTCGATAGTTATTGTGAATTTCATTGATATTTGTTGTTCTTAATGTTTAATGTATTTATATGAAAAATTCTTAATCTAGAGAATTAGACGTTTATTTTTAGAAAAATAATAAAAATGAAATATGTCAAATAATTGATTTCCATTATGGTTACTTTGATTGTCCATTGATTTTTTTTTATCGATAGATGTCAATAGGAAATAAAAAATAAAAATGATTTTCGTTTTTTTTTTATAGAGTATTTTATTTGACTTTTTATTGGTTTTCTTCTTCGTAAATAAGAGTTTTACGTGGCGATATAATAAAATAATGAGTCATATAACCTACTATATAATTATTATTGTACTATTTAGTATCCAAAAAACATTTGGATATCTCGTGCTTGTTATTTCATCTGAGTATAATCTGTTAAAGATAAGATATAGGCAAATCGTCCTTTTTTTTTCTTTTCATTCTTTGATTTATACTGAGATAAGTGAATAAATATGTTGTCATATTATTTATCACATGAGTACCTCGTGTTATTTTTTTTGACCTTGCTGTTATTTGTTAATCTTAGATATTATTGTTTTTTGCTGTTTAAATCAGAAAATAACATTTTTTGCTAATATTCTATATAAAATAATGCTTTATACAATTTGTGGATAAATGAATTTAGCAGCTGGTATCGAGTCTCATACGACAAATGGTTTATCTTCATCGTCTACTCATCAACGAAAAACAAAGCAACAAGAGAATTTGCTTGAATTAAAAAATGCGTAAATTAATTATTATTATTATTATATTCAATTTTATTTTTTAAAATGTTTTAGTAAATTGATACGATCAATATCACAACATGATGAAGAACTTGAAGAAAAACAACAAACATTAATTCCTAAGAAAGGTGAACAAGAAATAATACGTAATGAAACAGATAAAATTGTTTTATGGCGACAACCAATAAATACAATTCATTATTGTTTACTTGAAATAATTTATTTAATTCATCATAATTTTAAACATTTATTATCCTATCGAAAAACTTTATTTCTTTCAAGTATATTATTATTATTTTTCTTATTTATTTATAAATCTGAAGGTTCACATCAAAAAAGTATTCATGAAATAGAAAGTTTATTTTTTTGGACATTATATTGGTTTGGTCTTGGTGTTGCATCATCTATTGGATTAGGTACAGGTTTACATACATTTTTACTCTATCTTGGTCCATTTATTGCTCAAGTAACATTAGCAGCATATGAATGTGGATCAATAAAATTTCCTCGTCCACCATATCCAAATGAAATTGTTTGTCCATTATCATCAAGAATAGATGAAACAATTCTAACAGATTTATTAGAAACAAAATCAATATCATTTTGGAATATATTATGGAAAGTTAAATTAGAAGCATTTTTTTGGGGTTTAGGTACAGCATTTGGTGAATTACCACCATATTTTATGGCTCGTGCTGCACGTTTAGGTACAACTGATGTAGATGATGATGAAGGATTAATTGATTTCAAAAGATTAATAATTGATGCTGAATCAAATAGTTCTCAAAATTTAACATTATTTCAACGTTTACGTTATTCAGTATATCGTCTTATTGAACGTATTGGATTTTTTGGTATATTATTATGTGCAAGTATACCAAATCCATTATTTGATTTAGCTGGTATAACATGTGGTTATTTTTTAATATCATTTTCGAGATTTTTTTTTGCAACAATTATTGGCAAAGCTCTTATTAAAATGAGTATACAAACAATATTTATTATATTTTTATTCAGTGAACATCATGTTGAACGTATGATACGTTGGATGCAACATATACCATTTTATGGTAATTTATTACAAACACCATTTAAAGATTGGTTACATGAACAAAAAATGAATATGCATAGAAAACCAGGTCAACATTTAACTAATCAAATAACAAGAATATCAACATTAACTAAAATATTTAATTTATTTGTTGCTGCTATGATTGCATATTTTATTATATCAATTATTAATTCATTAGCACAACGTTATTATAAACGTATACGTACAAAATGTAAATAATTTATTCTTTTTTGTTTTATATGATCGAAGATCATCCTTACAAAACAACAGAATACAAAAACTAAGCATCGCTGTGAATTTCATTTTTTTTCACTCGTTTTTCGGTTTACCTTCTTTTGTTTCGTTTTTATTTCTAACTATGTATTTGCATTTTTCTTGTTTTTTTTTGATTTTGATGTAATGTATGAATCTATCAGGGATAAGATTTAACAAAAAAACAAACTCATATTCACTTTATATAGATCACAAATATCTTTGACGATGCTGCCACGATGGCATCAAACTTCTTCTTTAGGGAGATTGTCAAATTCCATGAATTTGCTTGCACCCGATTTGAGCGTCTACAAGTACAATACTCAGTATCGTGGTGAATCTGATGGGTTCAATCTAACTATGTTAATTTAGCACGGTGATGGAAGAGATTTTCGAAGAGTTTCTCAAAAATCATCGCGGCATTGACAGATTTCCAGACGCGATGGACATCTATCTGACATATAAAGAAATTTATAGAATATGTTAGTATGATTTTCATCGGATTAATATACAGTAGTCGCAAGAAGTCTCGCTATCAGATAAAAAGTACATAAACTTCAGTTCTTGTGCCTGATGTTAAACCTGCAGCAGCTCTTAGTTCAATAAACCGATTCTTTTTTGAGAACTGACAAGGGAAGGTCACCACTGTTCAATTGCTTTTGAGTCGGAACTATGTGCATCATGTAGGTCCTAGTGAGTTTTGAGTACCCTGAAAAAAGTTCGGACTGCTAGCTTATTATTGTCGAGATACTGCATTTTTGTGGTATTTTTAATTAAGCACAATGCCGTGATTCCCTTCAGGAACCAGAAAAACTGAGTTTCGAGTTTTAACTTGAAACTTTGCGCAGAAACAGACCTCAATGAGAGTAGTTTGTTGTGAAAGTTTCAGGTCTTTTTGTTGTTCCTATCCTAAGATACAACTAAAAAGGGCGTTTTTACACTGCTTGTATACCCCTGACAGGTTCCGATGTTCTTATTTCAGAATAGGAACAACCAAAAGATCTGAAACTTTCACAAGAAGCCACTTTCATTGAGATCTATTTGTGTGCCAAATTTCAAGTCGAAATTCAAAACTCAGTTTTGCTGGTGATCCTGAGGGGGCCACGGCATTCTGCTTAACAATATCGTAAAAATGCAGTATCTCGACAGTAATAAGCTAGCGGCCCAAACTCTTTTCAGTGTATTCATAGCTCATTAGGACCTACATGATGCACATAGTTTCGACTCAAAAGCGATTGAACAGTTCAGTGACCTTCCCTCGTGAGTGTGCCAATATTGATATCACCTTCCACTGATCTTCTTTTCTTCTTTCCTCCTTGTCTCTCTCTATTGTTCTTTCCTGTATTCATCTCTCTCCCTCTCTCTCTTCTGTCCTGTATAAGCGTGCGTTGTATGTGAAGTAGTTACATTCTGGATATGTGAACTAGCTAGATAAACATCATTACCGAGAGTGGCGGTAAGCTACTCAATCCAGTTTGTCGTTACATGGAAAGAGAAAAGAAAGATCAGTAGAAGGTGATATCAATATCGGCATACTGAGTCCAGTGAACAGTTCTTTTTCGAGAGCTGTGTCAAAGGAACAGTTCTTTTTCTGGAACTGTGTCAAAGAAACAGTTCTTTTTCAAGAACTGTGCCAACTGAACGGTTATTTTTTGAGCACTGTGTCGAAGTAAGAGTTCTTTTTCAGGAACTGTGTCATGTAAATACTTTTCTTTTTAGAACTGGGTCTAGTGACTAGTTTATTCTTTTGAGCATTGAGTCCATCTATTCTACCATTAAGTTTCCGATAACTTTATTCCAGCACATTTGTGCAGTTCACAAGCATGACCCAGAACGAAGCAATTATAAATCTGATGGGAAGGTTAAAATGAGATGTCTTGTGGCAGCAGTTGTTGTTAAAAAATTGAAATTAAATGATTCATGCTATTTAGAATAGTAGTCGATCTGATGTTGGATTGATTGAGTAACAATTCGACTATAAACGGATTGTTGAATATGTATTCAATAGACTTATTGTGAGAAAGTTTATCAATATAAGATTGTAGTTTAGAATTAAGAATACTCATTTTTTTAAAGAGATTCACATGAAAAAAAAAAATTTATGTGATTAAAAATAAATAGACATACAATGTGTTTCTTGATTGAATGTTCCACAACGCCGAATATCGATCGATTAATTATAAGGAGATGAATAAAATTCATAAAATTCTAATACTCACTAAATAAGAATGGTTAAAAATGAAAATTTTCTATATGTTAATATTTTAAAATAATTCAAAATAAATCATAGAAGTTCGACCAATCATTTAGAATCGATAAAATTATAAAAGTTGAATACAATAGTAAACAAACATTAATTATTGTGTGAATCATATTATTAACATGCATTCCAAACTCAACTAAATTTCCATATCAACTATGACGTATTTAACGTCCGAAATGGCGTTGAAAATGATCATTTCAAGAGAGATGCTTAGATAGTGTATACACACAAACACACAAGTGATAATAAGAAAAAAAAGAATATAAAACAAAAAATTAATTCCACCATTTTTTATTCTCTCATTCTATTCTAAGTAAATTACTTACAGAATCGTTGGCTGATGGTACTGATATTCGACGATTTGTTTGTGTACCAATATTTTGTGGTAAAGTATAATAATCATTTATATGTTGAGCATGATAAATTAATTGTGCTAATTGAAATGAATGTGTGTGACATGTACGTTGTTTAAATTCAAAAAAATGCATTTATATTAAGCATGGTTTCTTTCGCAAAAACTTTAAATAAATTAAAATTAAATATTAATATTTTTAAAAAATCAATACCCTCGCTTTATACTATCATCATCATCATCGGCAATATCAATATCCATTAATAAAGGTAATAAAACAAAATTTTGTTCTTCAGGTAACTGTTCATTACACTAAAATATAATCAATCATCTAACTATGGGAATTCAGTTGAAACAAATATTCTATCTTATTTTATGTAAAAGTATGTGTTAAATACCAGCCAAAAAAAATATACTAAGAGAGGTGTTACACGAATAGATCAAAGGTTATTTTAAAAAAACAATAACAAGATCAAATAAAAACTGGAGTAGCATAACAAAAATGGATATAATAAAAAGGTCAGAGAAAGAAACACGTCATATTGATGCTATTTGATTTGATGCGATAGCCAATTGGATAATCTTTTCCGAGGATTTTAACATGAATTTAACCATCTTTACGTCACTTTGATCTTCAAATCTAAAGTGGAATCTATTTAATTGAATATATAAATTTATCATAAATTATTACCTTAACTGATAAATTATATTTGTTGGACTTTCAATAATATGAACTTCTTTAATTTTGAAATGTTCATGGAGATTTTTGATATCTAAAGTTATAAATAATTTCTTGAGTTTTGAGCTCAATATAAAGATAGACTTACAATTAACAAGTTTTTCTTTTTCACTTGAACTACCGACAAGTTCTACTGTGTCAACTTCACAGGTTGAACTCATCCCATTGGATCTGATGGGAATTCGTCGGAAGTTGTCGGAGTCCTTGGTGCAGGATTGCGACAGGAAGTTATCGGACGTTGGAAAGTGTCGGATTTTCAGGGTTCCAACAGGATTTGAGTTCCTTCCGACACTTTCCGACATCCGACAACTTCCTGTCGGAATCCTGTACCAAGGATCCCAACAACTTCCGATGAATCCCTGTCGGATCCGATAAAATCCGATAATTTTCCTGGCAAGATCCGACGGAATCCAACTGTCGGATTGCTCGTCCTGGGTTGTTCGAGCTAAAGAAAAAAAAATATAAAATCACAAATACAAAAAAAATCGAAAAAATGAAATAATTTATTTTTCTTAAGATACAAAACCACAAGTACTAAGTATTTTGTCGTAGATCTGTTGTCAATACTATGAGACGTAAAGCGGAATATCCTTCAGTAACAATAACTAACGACGAATTATTAAAGCTGCCGAGAATTACCTCTTCGATAGCCATTTAACGTTCTGAAAAAATGGGATGAATGCTCCAAAATCTATTTCATTATTATTTATATATGACCATGTGATGACCGATCGGAAGACATGTTTCATTGTTTAATCAATATTTTTCATTGGTTAAATAGCGACTCATCGGCCAAGAATAAATGAATCATCACTTCCATTCTCTTGTATTAGTTCTCATCCAAAAGAAAACTTATTGGTCGAATTAAGCTTAGATTACAGAAAGGAAACTCATATCGATTTTTTTCTTGTTTCTTTTCAAAATTTTCGCAGCTACTCTTAATACCACAACACTTATGATGGGTATGGATTTCTCATAATGTTCTATGCACAAGTTGATGCATGTCTCTTATCAAAATTTTCAATGGTCTTATACTTCATCATTTTTATTCTATCTACAATTATTTCACCAGTCACATGTACTCAGTCGCCTTAAAAAAGAATACCTGTTGCATAGCATAAAGTATATAAAAGAAAACCGTTCGAAAACGTATTTATTAAAGAGACTTAGAGGTAAAAAATTTCTTACAACAAGTCTAACAATGATCTGGAAATTCAACGAATTGCCAATATGTTCTTGGTAATACAGTACTGGCCAAAAGTATCGTCCCCCTCGAATCTCAACTATTATAAGATCTGTGGATCTGAAAATTTGTATACACATAGTTCTCAATGAATATAGGTCAGCAGCACAACCCGTATCCGAATTCCATTAAGTATAAGAGAGTTACAACGCATGCGGTCTGTCTCCATTGTGAACTTTATAACTTAGGACCGAAAAGAGTTTATGAGTCCGAGTTCCTGTCATTCTATAGTCTTACACTATGATTATTTATGATAAAGTTTTCATTGAAGTTGAATAAGCCGTTATGAATCTAGAACCATTTTATTGTAAGTATTGATGTATGGAAAAATCGTTCTACCTCATTGTTTAGTTTATAATTCACTGAAAGTTTGATAGATCGGCTTGAAAATTATAGAAAATGTTGTTCCATAGTTTTCCATGGTTCCCTAAAATTTTCAGACATATACAGTACTCCACAAAAGTCTTCGGCCCCCGGAATCTTTCAACCCATAAAAGTCTCATTTGACTGAAATTTTGCAGGAATACATTTTTGAGTATGCCCTGGTTATCTGCAGAAACTGGAGTCCAAACGCATTTATATTACATGAAATCTACATATGTATTCTGCTAGTTTCAGGTAATGATGTTGTAATGATGACGAATTGATGAACTTGCCTATGTTGTTCAAAAGAAGGCCGTCAACTGTCATAGTATGAAAGCGAGTTACTTGAGAATTTTATCATGAGAAGAGTATTATCTAAGCTTCATTTCTATTCGGAAATATTAAATTTTTTATGCGTGTGTATTTTGTAACAGTATAAAATTCGATCAGGTCAGCTTTTCTTATCACCGCCGATAACCGATTTCTATATGGGTAGATCCCATATAATATAAATGCGTTTGGACTTTAGTTTCTGCAGATAATCAGGGCGCACCAAGAAATACATTCCTGCAAAATTTCAGCCCAAGGGAACCTTATGGGTCAAAAGATCCTGGGGGGCCGAAGGCTTTTGTAGAGTACTGTATATGTCTGAAAATTTTAGGGAACCATGGAAAACTATGGAGCAACATTTTCTATAAGTTTCAAGCCGATCTATCAAACTTTCAGTGAATTATAAACTAAACAATGAGGTAGAACGATTTTTCCATACATCAATACTTACAATAAAATGGTTCTAGGTTCATAACGGCTTATTCAACTTCAATGAAAATTTTATCATAAATAACCATACTGCAAGACTATAGAATGACAGGAACTCGGACTCATAAACTCTTTTCGATCCTAAGTTATAAAGTTCACAATGGCGACAGACCGCATGCATTGTAAGTCTCTTATATTTAATGGAACTCGGATACGGGTTGTGCTGCTGACCTATATTCATTGAGAACTATGTGTATACAAATTTTCAGATCCGCAGATCTTATAATAGTTGAGATCCGAGGGGGCCGATACTTTTGGCCAGTATTGTAAATCGTAGATCTGAACTTTAAATAGATTTTTCTTGGTGTCATACAGAACTATATATAATCATAATATTGAGTCGAATGAGTATGACTACTTAGAGATGTTCATCATAATTTCAAATAGATTTTGACGAACGAAGACATGATTTTGTACATGACCTACAGTGAATAGGTCATCCTATTATAGTAAAACTTTAGATAGGGAAATCAGCACTATAAAAATTTTTTGATTCGAGACCTCAAGTATATTATGCCAAACCAAAGAGCTCGGTGAGTTGAGCACTTTTTGTGACAGAATTTGGTCTTTTAAATGAAACCATGAAGAGTTCTAGGTAAATTAACTTGTAATATTTCAGTCATTTTGGTCGTTGTCACGTTCAAAATTCTTCATGGTTTCATTTAAATGTCCAAGTTCCATCACAGAAAGTGTTCAACTCATCAAGCTCTTTGGTTTGGTATAATATACTTGGAGTCTCGAATCAAAAAATTTTTATAGTGCTGATTTCCCTATCAACCGTTCCCTGTCATTTTTACTATATAAAAATAATCTCGGACCCAAAGGGTTAATAGACAAATAAACAATTAAACTTCAATCAAATAATACAGTCTACTATAAAATTCTAGAGAGGATCAAATGAGTCGTATTTGAAATTGTTTATACCTATGTCGATATTAAGAAATTATGTTTTTTTTTTATTTACCATCCGATGAAGCTCAAGAAATTGAATGAAAGAGAACTATTTCAGATTAAATTGATATTGAATTTCATGCTACAAAAAATTCAAAAGTTTGGGATTATTTTATACTTATTTCTACAAACAGAGCCTATTTTTAAAAAATAATCCGAAATACATCATTGAATAGTTTCTAGAGAAATAAATATATTCAACTTGTTATGTACTATTAGTTCTTAAGTAAAAATATAGAAAAAAAAACATAGCAGTACAAAGTAATGAACATAGGACTTAGAAACGCATATATTTGAGTTTGCATATCTCATTTCGTACATAACTAGCCCAAACAATGCATAATCAAGGTAAAAATCTAAAGAAATCAATTCGTATAGATGATTACATTAGGTACACTGTAACTTTTAGTTTTGTGTGATTGCTCTTCTATTGAGGACAAACTATGACAAAGTCTAGTAAAAAAATAGAACTCAATTGTAAACGTATGAATAATTGCTCAAGAGCATTGTACATTCCATAGAAAGAATATTTTCAACGAATTTATTATAAATTTCTTTTCATTTGACAATATAAAGAATATGGCAAAGCTCTTGAAGACTTCATGCTACCATCAATAGTGACGTAATTAAATAGAAGTTAATTGTGGTATTAGCCCCATTGCCTTAAAGCTTTTTTCTAGTTGGGTCACTAACTATCAGTATCCCATATGTTATTTTCAATTACTCTACGCCATAGGTTCACGTTCAAACAAAGACAATTGACATTATTTGAACGACCTCAAAATGTAGTTTAATGTCGATAATCATTCTGGATCTATTTGAACACTCTATGAAAGAAAAACATAAAAAAAATAATTCTATCCAACAAAGATTTGTTTCATTGAATAAGAATGTCGTGTGAATAAATTATTGTCGATTAATTTATCAACAGTATATATTGAAAAATTCATTTTATTATTAATCTAGTCGATTCAAATGACTTGATTTATAAAGTAATGGAAAGAGAAGATCTTTTCTGACAGAGATTAATGTTAGACAATCAATGAAAATTACCTGAGACAGAAAAGAAAATATATCTTGAACTGGAGACAAGAATGTGCATGAAAGAATTGTTTATTAAGATGATTCTCTTGACTGTATTCAACAAATGATGAAAGAAGTTAATAAGTTTGAGAAAAAAAAATGAACAGATCAACTTGTAATCGATTTCATTTGGAACTCTGACGAGTTCATTTAGGTTGAAAACCACAATAAACTTAAGGACAACATACAATTCATTATTCTTACGAGGAAAGGTTCTCAACTGATCAACACTGTTTTCAATGATATTTTGTTTATATATCGGAGATAGTATTCTAAAACAAAATCCTAAGATGGTTTGGATCGATAGTGCTTCTTTCGAAGATTATGACCGTTTTACTGATTTTTCTACCTAGCACAAAGTATATAGGAAAAAATTGAACAACAAAATTTTGCTCATATGTAGTTCTTGTGGTCATTAGAATGTTCCAAAATTTTCAGTGGAAAAAAATCTTTCCTTCTGGAGATATTCAATTTTAATAAAACTCAATCATTCAGAACTTGATAGATTATGAGACAAGTTTTTAAGAATTAACAAGTAACATTCATTGACATCAAAGGTTGATTCACTGGGCCCTAGACTGACGGAATGATGACAAGCAGATGGTTGTATTTTTATGGTCATTTGTGTCATAATACTGGTCAATTGTGCCAAGTACTTGTTACAGACAGACAGACAGACACAGGTAAATTACGGTTTCTAGACCTTAGCCGTTCAGTCTAAGAAATTACATTGTTCTTCAGTATAAACTAAGAGAAATGAAATGAGGCAAAAAGTAATTAAGAATTTGAAACAAACATCAATTTTATTAAGAAGATATCCTATCGTAAAAACAGACAAAACTACGTAGCTTTCATTCATGCATTATTTCAATATTGTTCCATAGAAGTGAGGAGGACAAACGATTATTGAGATAACTTTAGAAGATCGAACAAAGTTGTCCAGAAAAATCGTCTTCCTATTTTTCAGATGTTCGATCACCTTACTAATTATAATAAAACTTGAACGTGATCAATTATAAATAAAACAAGAGCAAAAAATAGATATATATCCACGTCATCAAAATTGGATCATTTGTATCAATTAATTACGATATCTCAGGAATAATGTGTATCAGTTTACAAACTTATTTATATTATTATCAGCAATAACTGAAGCAGTAATCACTATTCTAAACAAATTATTGTCTTTCTTATT